ATGTGGACAGTGAGGATGTGGACAGTGAGGATGTGGACGGTGGAGGATGTGGACAGTGAGGATGTGGAGGACAGTGAGAATGTGGACAGTGAGGACGTGGACAGTGAGGACGTGGTCGGTGAGGACGTGGACGGTGAGGACGTGGACGGTGAGGATGTGGACAGTGAGGATGTGGACAGGGAGGACGTGGACAGTGAGGATGTGGACAGTGAGGACGTGGACAGTGAGGATGTGGACAGAGGAGGATGTGGACAGTGGAGGATGTGGACAGTGAGGATGTGGACAGTGAGGATGTGGACAGTGAGGATGTGGACGGTGAGGATGTGGACAGTGAGGATGTGGTCAGTGGAGGATGTGGATGGTGAGGACGTGGACGGTGAGGATGTGGACGGTGAGGATGTGGACGGTGGAAGATGTGGACAGCTCAGGTCCAAGGATACTTCACTCATTGCAGGCTCAGCACTCATCTAATACACACTTGTAAATGAATATTTAGTTGTGGAAATTCTAATTTTACTGAACGCAGTGTCTTTTCTCTGAGTCCTCCCGACATCTTATTACTGTAGTATATCTGGTGTTGCTAAGAGGGGAAATGTTGAATGAGGACACCTCATACAGAGCAGTAATGGAGCAGTTAGGACATGAAATGTACACATACTGAAGACTTCTGAAGTTAGGATCACATGCTCAAGGAGGACACATAAGACCTTCTACCGGTGACCTTGACATTCTAGCAGTGTAGAGATTTTAGCATCTTAGTCCTGTAAATACAGTGCTAGTCCTAAAGTTGTTTCTGAAAGTCAGTCTGGTTTCACGGTGGAGTACTATGCAGCAGGAATAAATGATCTGAAGTTTTATATAACAACACACTTCGGCAGCATCGAGAGGAAGATATATCTTTGCCTCCGCTGACATCCTTGTTAGAAATCAGTTGACTGTGCATATGTAGGTGCGTCCAGCCACTCTTTTGCTTGGCTCATCTATGTGTCTGCTCTTCTGAGTCTTTGAATGGTCATCTTGATTTTAGTTTCAAAACGGAATCACTGTTCTTTCTCATCAAGCTCTTCAGGTGGGTCACAGTTGGCTAGTATGGACACATGTCATAGGTTCAGTTGAAAATCTACCAGTCAAGTCAGATGTGGGTGACTACCAAACAACTCCTGCCGAAGCAGCACACTCGCATTCTCTACTCAGGGTCCTTCAGGCACAGTTGTTCAGCACCAGAGGCAGGGAGACCCCTGTGACACGTGTGTGAGCCTCCACCAGCAGCAGGTAGACCCCTGTGACACACGTGTGTGATCCTCCACCAGCGGCAGGTAGACCCCTGTGACACACGTGTGTGATCCTCCACCAGCAGCAGGCAGACCCCTGTGACATGTGTGTGAGCCTCCTCAGGATCCTAGCTGATGATGTCAGGCTTTTACACCTGTCAACTTCTCTGAGCTGCCCCAATGCCTAACTCACATTTCCAGAATGCTAATTAGATTAATTAGTGTCTCTTCCCTTTGTCCAGTAAACTAGCCTCTGCTTTTCTCCTGTCTGCCTGCTAAGCATGAGAATACATTTTCTCCAGTTCAGATTTCTCAGTTATCCACTCTTCCCTTTTATGCCCTCTCCATACTACTAAGACAGTTTTCTTTTCAGCTTTCCCCCTTCTGTCAGAAAAGTTCCTAATTCCGTTCTTGTCTCCATTGTATTGTTTTTGAGATAGTGCCTGCCTGTGAGGTCCAGCCTGGGTTTAATTTTGCCGTCCCGCCTCAGCTTCCAGAGCACAGGGATTACAGGAATGAACCACCATGTGTGGCTGCATCCGTATCATTCTCTATTAGCCATGATTCCCTCTTCTGTTTTTGTTACTGTGGTGCATATCCCTCCTGGGCACGCTTCTCTTCATGGCTGTGCTCTGTGTATTTGGAGCTCTGACTTCAGCATGTTCACACTAAGTGTGTTCTTAAGACTTTTTTCTGTGGCTCAGCATTGCTTCTGAGAGTCTCTCACACATGTAGCTGTTACTCATCTATTTTACTGTTACAAATTGTATGATATCCTTGTGTGACTATTATATAATGCATTTACTCTTTTTAATTTTTAATTTTATGTGTATGAGTATTTGTAGACAGAATTTTATGTCCTGACATTAAGCTTCCAAATAACTACACAGAGACTTATTATTAATAATAAATGCTTGGCCAATAGCTTAGGCTTGTTACTAACTAGCTCTTACAACTTAAATTAATCCATATTTCTTTTTTTTTTTTTTTTTGGTTTTTCGAGACAGGGTTTCTCTTGTGTAGCTTTGCACCTTTCCTGGAACTCACTTGGTAGCCCAGGCTGGCCTCGAACTCACAGAGATCCGCCTGCCTCTGCCTCCCGAGTGCTGGGATTAAAGGCGTGCGCCACCACCGCCCGGCTTAATCCATATTTCTTATCTACATTCTACCCTGTGACTCAGTACTTTTCTTTAGCATGGCATGTTCATCTTCCTTCTCCCCTCCTCTCCTGGGGACTCCACCCTTCTTCCTCCTAGTGCTCTCCCCCTGTCCACAAGTCCCACTTAACCTCTTCCTGCCTAGCTGTTGGCCATTTAGCTCTTCATTAAACCACTGAGAACAACACATCTTCACAGTGTACGAAAAGATTTTCCACACCAAGTGTTTTTTGGCCTCCATGCATGCACACCATGTGTGCAGTGCCCTCAAGGGCCAGAGGAGGCCATCAGATACCCTTGGGCTGGAGTTACAGCCAGTTGTGAGCTGCCATGTGGGTGCTTGGGCTTGAACCCAGGTCCTCTGGAAGAGCAGCCTGTGTTCTTGATTGCTGGACTGTCTCTCCACTCACTCTTCTTTTACTGAGCCTTTAGCTCATGACTATTGAATCTAAGGTGTGTTACTGTGGGTCTGTGGACAGAAAGCTTTACGTACTTTTATGTCATGGACTCCTTGGGAACTTTTTAACATTATGAGTTATCTTTAATAATATGGGCTATAAATAATGTTTTAGTTTTTTTTTCTCTTAGTGCTGGGGATTGAACTCTAGGTCTCAATTGCAGTAAGACATCCTGACATTGAGCTATGTCCTCAGCCTCCCAAGTCAAGTTTTTAAATGCACAGAGGGAATTGTAGTCATATGAAAGAAAATGACATTTTCCTCTCTCCAAAGTACATGCATATCCTAGAAGCATTTTGTATTGTCCAACATTCATAAAATTTTTCAGAGTAAACATAATACAAATAAAAAAATAAAAACTATATATATATACATATATATATATATGTATATGTATATATATATATATATATATATATATACTGTTCATTAACAGTTTTTGACACTGGGTGGTGGTGGCATACACCTTTAATCTCAGCACTTGGGAGGTAGAAGCAGGTGTATCTCTGTGAGTTCTAGGCCAGCCTGGTCTACAGAGCGAGTTCCAGGACAGCCAGAGCTACACAGAGAAACCCTGTCTTGAAAAACAAAACACAACAAAAAAGAAATTAATATTAAAGATTTTGTTGTTATTTTAAGACAGGGTTTCATGTGGCCAAGGTTGACCTGTGTAGCTGATTATGACCTTGAACTCTGGTCTTCCAGCTTTCACCTCACAGATGTGAGGGTTGAGGTTACAGGCGTGTACTGCCATGCCTGGCTTGAAGATTTATTATACTCGGGACTTTGTGCCCTCCCCTGTTGAAACTAAACAAACAGTCAAGAGCGAAATAGCATTTTCCTAGGTTATTTAACTGGAGGAAGATGTCTGTGTAGTCTTTGAACAAATGCCAGGTGTATTTAAAATGCTAAATGTGTGAGTGCCCGGCTTGCTGTGGGCTTTCATGCCCGGCTCTCACACTCTTCGCAGGGCTGCTGCGTGTGTGACCTGTCTGAGAGGTGTGCAGATGGGAATGGCGGGTGTTGGGAGCATCATTACATCTTAGCAGGCGGGAGGAGGGATGTCAGTGTGAAGGGCACTGCCTCTGGCTGTGAGGTTGTGGCCCAAACTCCATGACTTATCAGCCATTTCCAGTCTTGCACTTGGTGATTGGAGAAGGAACATGGAGTCTGGCCAGCTCTTCAGAACTCAGGCCTGCTCCAGTCTACACCGCACTGAACTTCCACAGGAGAAGCAAAAGCTTCCTCCTTGCACACTTCTGAAACATTGCGGCACGGCACAGTCTAGACTGTCAGCTGCTGCTCGGGAGTCCAAGGGCACGTTTGTGGGCTTCTCTCTCCTCAGAAGCTAAGAAGGACTGTAGCCTACCAGGAATCACCATCTACCAGCTTGGGGCTTTCTCAGTTTATTTTACTCATTCCCTTTTAAATTTCATAAATTACACTTATTTACATATTTGTATGGTGTGTGTGTATGTGTGTGTGTGTGTGTGTGTGTGTGTGTGTGTGTGTGTGTGTGTGTGTGTGTGTGTCTATCAGAGGAGTCCTCTCTTTCCACCATATAGGTCATCGAGAGTGGACTCATGTGTAAACACCACACGTGTGCCACGGTGCACGCGTGAGTCAGACGGTCCACCTTCCACCGTGTCTGCCACAGCACATGCCAGAGCAGCGCTCCAGGGCCTGCCCTGTCTCTCTTCCCTTCTCCCTGTAGGAGACTGGGATTGTAGTGGCTTTAAGTGGGTTCTGGGGAGCCAAACTCAGGTACTCACACCTGTGAGCCTTGTGCTTTAACCAGGAGTCTTCTCCCCAGACCTTCAGAAAAGATTTTTGTTTGCTTTTTCCAGTAGCCTTAGGGCACCATCAATCTGAGAACCTTTTAAAATAGGCAGCTTGAGGCTATTCAGGTCACCTGGGTCACTTGATGCTGGAGTCAGTTCCTTGAAAGACCATTTGTGGTTAGGGATTTTTTTTTTCTTTTTTAGGGATAATTTTTCCCCCCTCCATGTAATCAAATTTCCCTCCTCTTCCTGAGGACAGGTTTATTTCTTACACAGGGTTTTAGTTTTAGTCTTTGAATCTTCTATTAGACGCCCCACCTGGGGGAGACTTTGTTTTTCCCTTCTGTTCACTGTGCCCCTGCTACTGTCAAAATAAACAAACAAACAAACAGACTGAGCAAGCCATGAGGAGCAAGCCAGAAAACATCATTCCTTCATGGCCTCTGCATCAGCTCCTGCCTCCAGGTTCCTGCCCTGTCTGAGTTCCTGTCCTGACTTCCTTCAGTGGTGAACAGAGATACGGAAGTGTAAGCCAAATAAACCCTTTCCTCCCCCAAAATACAAAAAATGAACACCTGGGAGAGCCTTGGCTGCTGGAGAGGCAGAGAGTGCATGCAGATGGCTGGGTGAGGTTTGCGTCCAGCGAAGCAGCCGTCCCCTTAGGGACCAGCAGCCTCAGCATGCCCGTGTCCCTCTCCCTCTGAGGCCTCGAGTTTTCCTGTCAGTTCAGTGATGCCTTTGAAAAGACATTGCTTACAAAG